TACACAGCCCTTAATTCGAACTAGGCGTTAGTCCTTGTAGAATGAGGTTTACCTAGTTCGAATTAAGTTTGAACTAGCGGTTTGCCTGTGTAGCGCCTATCAAAGTTAATTCGAACTAACGGCTGTTAGTTCGAATTAACTTTGTAGTGTAGACATACCCTCAAAGACTTTGCTTACCCTTTCCGAACCTCGAAAGTGGGCAACTCATCAGTCTGTCCTCACCCAGTACCGTTACCCTGTTTTCCCTCCTCATCTTTCACTTGTCCACTTGGTCTCCTCCTCCATAGTCTCTTGTCTACTGTCCTATATCTTCTCTTTAACTTTACATTGCCCTGTCTCCTCAATTTCCTGTCCTGCCAATCTTAAAGTTTAGGAGGTGACCATCTTTAAGGGAAATCCCATTACCGTATATGAAGCCTGTAGGTAATGGCAGCCACCCTGAAAGAGGATAGTTTGGCGTTAGCCCCACAGAAAATAATAGAAGTTGGTGACAGTCATTTCTAATAAGGAAAACGAAATTTTGAAGAAAGGATGTTTGATCATACAGTATTTTGTAAAATGTTAATAGTGTTTATCAATGTGGAATATCTAGAGGCATTTACATTTCTGTAAGAGGGAGGGATAGTCTTTTTGAATATATTTGTCTCTTACATCCTGAAACTACTTGTATTTGGGAAAATAACCAATATAAATATCTAGTAGTTTCAGGATGTATTTGGGAAAATAACCAATATAAATATCTAGTACTTTGACAGACTTTAAGCTTGATAACCTAGAGAAACAATTATGGTCTAATATCTGTACATCTTTGTTTTAGTTGTATAAGATTAGAAGAGGTAAAACTCGGCCCCAAGCACTCTTATTTCTCTGTATGATCCTTCTGTTGATTGTTCTTCACACAAGCTACATGATCTACAGTCTTGCACCTCAGTATGTCATGTATGGAAGCCAAAAATACGTCATACAGGTGAGACTTTCCTTTTTTATACATAAGGATATACATAGCTTGCTTTGTTTTAAAAAGATATAATAAAATTGCATATATGGGTTGAAGCAAAGCGCAGCTAGGCAGTATACCTTTTCTGAATGGATACAACCATAAGAAGCTCCTAGAATTATTGTGCCTCTGAATGTTTTAGAGTACAGTCCAAAGAAATTCTTTTGCACCTTTTCACACAGTGCAACATGTAGTTTGTGTGTTCTCCTGATCTGTGTGGTATTGTATAGGGACATGGGCTTGCTCCCATCTAGAAGGTAATTGCATCTGTTGCTGCTAGCTTCCAGTATGCCTTATGTGCCCTCAGCACAGGAATGGCTTTTATTATTTTCATTGTATTCTGATAGTGGCCAGACTCCACAGTCAGAAATGGGTTCCCATTGTGGAAGTCTCTGTATAAACCCTTAACAGATAGTGTCCCAGACAGTTTGCTAATCTTTTTTTTTTTTTTTTTTTTTTTTTAAGTGGAAGGTGTCATAGGATACAGGATACAAAGTATTCCGAATAATAGAGGGAACATGCATTCATAGTTCTGTTTAAGAATATTTTAAACCTTTGTCTAATTTCTTTAAAATAATCCCAAATCCTAACTTTATCCCACAAATGAACTACATAACCTTAGCCTTTTTTTCCCTGTAGGATTAGTTGATAAATAACAGTACATATTTCAGTTATTTTAATAGCTTCTGTTCACTCTTGCAACCCTGTATTATCATTAAGCTTTACTGTTTCTAGTCCATCCCCTACAGTATTCTAATAAGGTGAATTGAAAAATACTTTGTTTATAATTTTTACAGTGCAAATATTTGTAATAAAAATATACACTTTGATTTCAATTACACAGAATACAATACATATGGAAATGCAGAAAACATCCAAAACATTTAATATGTTTCAGTTGGTAGTCTGTTGTTTAATAGTGTTATTAAAACTGCAATTGTGATTAATTTTTTTGAGTTAATCTAATGAATTAACTGCAATTTATAGCCTAATAGTAATATGTACTTGGTCTTTTAAAAGGCCTAGTTTCACAGAATTTAAAATAATTGAGCCAGACAGGCAGAGAGAATTTAAATACAAAAATGTGAGCAATTGGGAACCATACAAACATTTGACTAAATGCTTATAAGTCTCTCCCACAAATGAAAAAAAACATTACACTGCTTAAGGCAGACTTATTTAGGTGAAAGCAGCCTTTAAACAACATATATAATACAAAAGGAAATTGGGAGAAGTAAATGCATAGATGCACTTACCCACTTGCTTTAAATGGTTTCCATTATATCAAGGGATTGGTTTGGTTCAGTAGCTCTCCACGCTCTTGCTATACAAATTGTCCTGGGATAGGTGAGAGAGAGAACTATAAATGTTCAAAATTGGTAAGGGAAGCAAATAGACACTTAGGGGAAATCTGTGGCCTGCAAAGTTAAAGATGCTAAGGTATTACATATATTAGGTACAGATGGAATTCTAATAGAGTTGTCAAGACAAAGCAGAGGGGTGCATAAGTCTTTTCATAGTATTTAGAAAAGAGCCAAATCATCAATCATCATGTGATAAGAATATAATTATTTTCCTTCCAACCCAAGGGGATATTCAACAGTAGTTACTATAGCTTGATATTTTAAAATGAGCAGTTTCAGATAATTTGATCAGTGTCAGAGAGCTTTAAAAGAGCTGGCTGTGGAGCTCTCTGACAAATATTTATTTTCAATAAGCCTTGGAAACTAGAATATTTCAGAGGAATGGAAGAATGGTCCTATTGTGCCAGTATTTAAAGTGTAAATGAGGTGATCCAGGTAATTATAGGACTGCCAGCCTGATATAGAAATTCAGCAAAATATTAGAATAGCAGATACGGGTCTCAGTTTAATGAAGAATTGAGAATAATTGATGCCAATCAAAATGGGGTTTATGGGAAATGTAATCTGTCAAACTAACACGATACTTTTATTAACCCAGTCTCATGAAAAAGATAACAGTGCTGATATAAATTAAACAAATAGTAGTCTGGTAGCACTTTAGAGACTAACAAAACATGTAGATGGTATCATAAGCTTTCATGGGTTTGGCTTAACACTGCAGAACATTTAGATTCTAGTTTCTTGATACAAATCAACATGACCTGTTAAATGTATTGAAAACTGATAAATCTCGATATAATTCTAAGCTAGGAATCATTGTGTGATTTTTAATAGGGCCCCACAGGGATTGGTTACTGGTCCTATGCTACTTAACATTCTATCAATGACATGGAAGACAAACTCCATTGGAGTTAGCAGCCGACACAAAAATTGAGAAGATCATACGTGTAGAAGGAAAGAATGTAGACCTTGCTTACAGGATTGTAACATCTGTGCTGGGAAGGAGTGGCTTATAGAGATGATTTGGTGGTTCTTCGTCGAGTAGTGTCCCCGAGGGTGCTCCACTCGAGGTGCTCAGCTGGTCCTGGCGCCGCAAACGGAGAAACTTCCTTAGCAGTAGCCCTGCCGGCCCGTGCATGCGCTCCTGCTGCCTTGTGCCTCACTCCTGCTGCCTCGCGCTGTTCAAGCCGTTACAGCTGAGCGCGGGCCGGCTCGTCAGTTTCCTTTCAACCGTCCGCGGCCGCAGACGGACGTAGGGACGTACTCCCTCTCTGGCCTGAGGAGAAAAGGGATTCTTATCTTAGAGTTTTTAATTGCCACTTGGCAGTTTATAGTTAGTGTAGTTGTTAATAGTTAGTAGGTAGTTAGTTTCAAAATCTTTGTTTTTCATCCTAATCTATAGTTTGTTTAGTAGCCAATAAAAAAAAAAGAAGGAAAAACTGTTTGTTATTAGGTTCCAACTAGGATAGACACTGATTTTTTCTATGCAGTTACAGAAACCAAGGGGGTAAAAAAGGACCAATTAACACAACTACACCCGTATTCTTCACTTTAACATCTTATGTTCAGAAGGGGAGCCAATCAGAGAGCACGAGAAAAACTGAAAAAAAGTTCTATCAGCTCTGTGGGAAAGTAAATGTAGATTTCAAATTGATACTTTTACACATAGAAAAACAGGGAGCTTGCTTTCTACTGAACAAATGGTTGGCATAGAAACCTTAGCATAATACAACACAAGTGAATATACTTATGATGACAGAGAAAATGTGGCAGTAGGTATGCTGCAAAAGAGTCTTTGATTCCCACTTATCGTTAACCTATGTATTTATTGTATAGAATAAAGCAACTCAGTGGTATAACATTTAGTTGCCATGACATCCATATAATTTGAATAGTAGAAAAATTAATAAAAAACAATGTAAGTTCTAACTACGTAAGCTCTAATGGAACTTTAGATAAGTAATATACTTCATCATCTTTACTTTCCTAGCATCCACTAAGAGGGATGAATAAAGATGCGCCAACACTCTTATAGCCAAGTCTCACTCACTATAAATATTTCTTCCTCCACGGGTTTCAGTATTTCACACTTTCTACCACTACTGGCTTAGGCTCACATCCCCTTTCCCTCCTGGTTGTGTATTTTGTAGCTCAAAGAGCTTTTTACACATGTCAAAGTAAAGTTCCATCTTGTGGGACCCTCCTATTTGAGTATCTTTTTGATGAAAGCAGCCACATTTTTCAAATTCTGACAGGTTGCTGTAGATTGTCTGCAATGGCTGCAAATTTTGCATGTCATAGCTAACACCTTGTTAAGACAATCTGTGCTTCAGAGAAATTCAAAGAACTACAATGCAGACTGATTCAGACACTGTGCGGGGGTGGTAATAAATAGCTGACACATTCTCTGAAGATATTCTTCCACATTATTGGGTGTATATTTTTCAGAAAATTGAATGTTCTCAGTGCATATTCTCTTTCACTGTGAAAAGAAACTTTTCCTTTAGAAACAGAAAATTAAATGGAAAGAGTTCCTGTCCGGGGGTACACACCATGAACAAAACAGTATCCATTCCCAAACACGTCAGGACTTCACTAGCATGGTGGGACAACCCCAAAAATTTGGTATCAGGGGTCCCCTTCCACGCACAAAGGCCCGCAGTGCAGATCACAACGGATGCTTCTTTAATCGGTTGTGGGGCCCATCTGCAAGAACATAGAGTTCAGGGGCTCTGGACGTCACAAGAGTCCCTTCAGCACATAAATTTCCTTGAGCTGCGAGCTGTATCCAACGCATGCAGGCACTTCCTCCAGAGGATCCGAGGTCTTGTAGTCCACATTCTCACCGACAACATATGCACGGTGTATTATATCAACAGGCAAGGCGGGGCGCATTCATGATCCCTTTGTGCGGAGGCTATATGGCTGTGGAACTGGGCAATCCATCACGATATAACCCTGACCACATCGTACCTTCCAGGCAAAGACAATGTCATAGCTGATGCCCTCAGCAGACACCTCCTTCCTCGGCACGAGTGGGAGTTACACAACAAAGTGGCTCGCGGCTCACCGTCGGAGATATGATCATTACTATGATGACTGCCTACCTTCTCATAGCACGCGATGCCCGCGATCACGATCTCCACAACCCACTAGTCCAGTGTCTCCGCTTCACGCACCTTCGGCAACGGTTCCATCAGCGCCTGCGGAGGACACTATCTCAGTTTCTAATCACGACAAGCATGAGGACAACTATACCCCGAACAGGGAACCCCTGGGTCTCCGGCCAGCCATTCATCATCATCTCCGGACGATGCTGTCTTCCCTGGAGAGCTATCTCCCATGGAAGATCATAAACAATTTCAAGAGCTTTTTGCCAGGGTTGCGCAATCTCAGGGTATTCAAACTACGGACGTACAGCAAAAGCAACACCCTTTGCTAAAGAACTTGCAGTTGTCACAAAAATCGAAACTGACTTTGCCCTTTGACGCTATCCTGGAAATCGCAAATGATATATAGCAGACTCCTGCTGCTGCTTTACTGACTAACAAGAGGTCGGATAAGAAATATTTCATAAACCAAAAGGGTATGGACTTTTTGTTTACA